GTTATAAATATTTAATGATTTTTCTTTGTACAGAGATATTTTTGAGCTATTTGAAATTATATGTTAAGACAATGAAATACTATAATTTTCAAATGTAATAAAGTGAATGAATTAATCTTGAAGAATTATAAAAATTTATTAGCATCATCCTTAATCATCATTTTCTCTCATCTCCAGTGAGTTTGGTTTTGATGTTGAGAGTGAGGAGCAGTCAGTCTATCTCATTATAACTAATCGCTAAAAATTTATTTTTAATAAATATGCACTTATATATTTGTTTTATAAATAGATACTACAGTATAATTTTCAAATTTTAAGGTTTATAATCATAGACTGTCATAAATTCACATCATTTTATTTTCAAAGCTTAACATTCAGTTAAACAAATTAGAAAATTTAAACATTTAAAAATTGAAACATCTTTGGCTGGATGGCCAGGGCAGTTAAGGCATCAACCTATTACTATAGGAGTCCTGGGATTGATTTTGGGTGAACAATCTTAGGAATATTTTTTGTGGTAAGTCCCAGATATGTCAGGCCCTACCTTTCTATCCAATTACCTCTGTTGTGGGTCTGGCCATACCAACAATGAAAAAGGCCCTCTTAGTGTTCATAGGGTGAAAAGAGCCGAAAATTAAAAAGTATTGAAACATCAAAATACATTATCAATTTCATATTCTNACGTGTCTGCTTGCACAGAAGCATGTCGCGATGTGAATCTCCCCATCCAATTCTTACTCGATGACACACATTTCGTGTGTTTTATGTGAACAGTTCTGTTCGAACAGTTGGAGTAGAGAATATTGTAAGTTACTGCTAGCAAAACAATGCGAAATATGTAATTATTTTCGGTAATCCGGACACTTTTTGTAATCCAACACACCTTTGGTCCCAGACCTGTTGGATTATCGAGGGACAACTGTATTGTGCAAATATTTTCATATTTTAGAAAATATAAGGAAGCAGGGCTTCCACGGCTTCCAAGGACGGCACGCCACTGGTGAAAATGCATGCTTTCTTGAATTCTGCTCAACAGATGCTTTTAGACCCTGCAAGCTGACATTACAGCAAGCTTCAGCTAAAATGCTGCCGCTTCATCCACAAATGTGTACTGGTCTTCTAATACTTGTAATACTTGTTATTAGCTCACCTGCTTTCCGTTGTTCAAACATCATATCTCTTGTTTTTCATTTTACACATACCATTTCAATGCATTATGCTGTTTTCCATCATGCCTATATCAACCATAACTGTTGTGTTCTACCACTGTTTTCATGTATTGCGAGTGCATGTCACCTTGTATTTATCCTGCAAAAGTTTCAACAGATTCCTCTCTTTCAACATTCCCAATATCATTGTTAATTCATCAAGTTATTTTATGACTACCCTGTATGTTATTTTTTTTAAATTTTGTATTACAATAGAATAAATTATCATAAAGCATACAATTTAAAATATTAATGTAATGTAATTACTTACGAATTTTTTAAAAACTTTTTATTTTGCAATTAAATATAAAAATATTAGTCTTTTCAATATATAACTTTTAACAATTATAACCAAAAATGTTAAATACATGTACAGTATGTAAAAATGCAATGAATATATCGTTAACTTAATAATACAAACAATTAACAATTAGAAGTACACAGTTTGATTAATTATAAAAATACAATTGTTAAAATTCTCTTTTTAATAAAAATTAATTAAAAATACAATATAAAAATAAAATTATTACACAAATATTCCTTATAAAAATATATTTACATTTTAAAAGTTCAGTATTTAATTTAAATATTTTAATATAACAAATAAACCAATATTTTCACACCACTGATACTAAATATTATGCATAATTGTATATATTACAATTAGTTCATAATATCATTTTACATTAATGTAGTAATGCATTAGTTTCTGATCACAGTAGATATAAATAAAAAAACTGTGCATTAATTAGTCATTACTGATAATGACTATAATTTAACAGAACCTCAAAAAACTAATTTTCCAAAAATACATTAATTAATTAATTAATAAATATGACAATACTGACACTATCTCTATAAAACAAAATAGCAATATATATATATATATATAATTTGATTTGGAGCATATGATGCTATATGCACGTAAATGAACCTTCAAGAAGCAGAACATAAATGCAAATAAGAACAAAGAACCCCAAATTACATCATGGAATGGCATCACACTGCCATCTTGCATTATACAGTCTTTAAAGTTTAGTCCTTTGTATGCAACAAACCCATCCTTTCATCCTGAAATATTCATAACATCACTTTTGTGAGACAAGCTGAGGGTCACTGGGACAATCCCTAATGACTACTTACCCGGCACAAGTCCTCAAAGACCGGTCTCGGATTTTTCAGATGGCTTAGGAGGGCAAATCGAGTGGGGAGTGTGCTGGAAAGCTGGCAGGCATCCTTTAAATGACAGGCAACAGGTTTAACAAAATAACAAAGCATTTATTGAATAACTAATCTTAATTACAAAAGTGATAACTCATAATTTACCTCTATATTATTAACTATACAAAGGGCCGCTCTTAAAAACTAGCATGACTACAGTACACAAATTTACAGAAACAGTTACTGAAACAGTCCACTTCCTAAATATGATAATTAGGTTGACTGATGGAGAATGTGGGACCCAATGGGGCCCGCCGAGACCCGACGATAAAGAAGATAAATTTGTTGTTTTGAAACCCTGTCCTGTTTTATAATTCTGGCGTAGTAAACACTAATATTGTGTCTTTGGAATAAAACACAATACTAGTGTTTACTATGCCAGAAAAAAGATAAAAATGGCAAAATCTCGAAAACCACTGGTCCTAGGACTCCCAAAATCTCACAAAGTACTCACAGTTCAGTTGTCCACAAGATCCGGTATGAATTTCCGGTAAAATGACCACCACCATCCAGATATTTGGTCCCGAAAAGTCCTGATTCTCGGACTTCTGTAACTTTCAAAATTCTTGGCCCACGTTTACATTCTTGATGTCATCTTAATCCTTGCGTAATCCTGAGTCGAACGATATTACACACTTTACTATATCAGATAAATCCCAAGAGAAACTGCACGAGATCCAGGAGCTCAGTTTAGCACGTCCTCACTGTTCAACCGCACTCAAACCTTTAGATAGAGATTAACTGAAGGTTAGTATTATCGTCAGATGTCCTTTTGTCTTTCTCTCATCCAAATTTTCTTATTTTAAACCATAACAAACACATAATTAGCCAAATTATAACTTTGCTTGAACTATTTTGAAATATTTTTAGTTTGTTGCTTTCTTTTCCTGTCTCCTCTTTCTGACTTATATTTTTTCTTATTAGAAAACTGATTGTGAGTTAAAACTGAGATTACTTTCTACTGAGTATTTCTTCTCTTTTACATTACATACTGTTGTTTTTCTTCAAACGTTAAAATAATAATTTTTCCTTTCTTCTTATAAAGTTGTTTTTATTCTTTTATTTTAAGGTTTAAAAGTTAGAAAGAAGTGATTTAATATAATAATAAACAATTATTAGATAACATTCCATAATCTGTTCTTGGAATATAGTAGTCTCTAAGCTTTGAAATGCTAAACTGATGATTGCTCAAAAGGAGTCACTTTTTTGTTTTTTTTTTTTTATAAATTAACTTTTGATAACCTGAAAAAGCAGTAGTGGGTACTTTATTTATCATTAGATAACTATAATTAATAGAAAATATTTGGTTGACTAATGTTTTTGTGGATTTCTCAGTTCTACATGCAATAATCATCATAGACAATTATGAAACTTGGCATTTTCTTTTAAATAAAGAAATCACTGAATTGTTTAGGAAGTCAATATTTCTTAAACAAAACAATAATCATTAATAATAATAAAAATTATAGGGGAAATTATAAAATAAATGTATAGTATTTGATGAAGTGGGCATAATGAACTGCATATTTCATCAAATATTAGAAAACATGAGAATTTTTTATAAGCAGTGAAAACATTTTTCTTACAGAAACAAGCTTTGTTGGCATGTTAAGTGAGTAATTTTCTTATATGAATTGTAGTTATTAAAATAAAAATTCAATGTGAAATTCAATAAATAAATTTTATATACATAGTAAACAACTACTCAATCTATTTATATTGCCAAATAATCTTCCAATTATCTATTGGGCTATATTAATTATAATTAGATACAAATAAATTTGGCTAGAGGTAGGTGGTTATGCCTTCATTTCTTGAGAAATTAATAATTAGAATTAAATTAATTTTAAATTTAGTGTTCTGGAAGAAAAGAATAATTTAATTTCTGATTGTTAAATCTATCAAGTGATAGTAGCTTAATTACTTACTTCTAGCCAAACTAATTTTTTTCTAATTATTATTATCTGTAATACAGTGCGACAAATCTGGCAGATTATTTGGCAATATATCAGGTAGTTGTTTATATACAAATATATTATGCCAGAATAAAAATGTTGTCTGAAAACCATAGAGGGTCATGTGTGCTAAGTCATCCTCAGTCAGTGCTGCAAATGACCAGTATTGTTATATCTAAATTAGTTAATAGAGCTGGAATTAATGGTAAGACAGAGGTTCAGGTATAACTAGCAATGCATTTACTCAGTAAGCAGGAGTTGTGGATTTGAGTGACACTTCAGGTTAATTCTTTTCTTCCAGAATATTCTAAATTTAAAATTAATTTTAATTTAATTCTAATTATTAAATTTATCAAGAAATGGCAACTTAACTGCCTACCTTTAGCCAAAATGATTTGTCTAACTGGTTTTTAGCCTTAATATAGCCTGATAGACAAGATTGGTCAGAGGATAGTGTGAACAGTGTGCTGGTGCAAAACCCCCACGATCCTGCATGATCCAACTCTTGCAAAATTTAAAACTTGATCATTTTATTTTTTGATAATTTAAGTAATTTTCACTAATCTATTTAATGGATGGTATGTTTATCATTAAAATATTATTTTGTTGTTCAAAACTTTTTTTTTAATTATTAAAAGGCCTGCATGAGAACTTTGCACCAAACCTCACTGTTTTTCTTGGGCTGGCCCTGCTGATAGATAATCTGACAGATCATTTGGAAATAATTTTTAATGAGAATTAAATAATAAAGAAATGATTATAATTTAATCCTAAATTTTATATATTTATTCATACAATCCAATATCCATAATTATAATTTAAAATTTTACATATATGTATACAATGTTAGTGTTATTTTTTGTTTTTACAGATGAACCATTACATGCTAGTTCAAAGCTTACACTTTTATGGTGTGCAGTGGTTAGACTTATTAGTGGCTATCAACCTTCTTTATATAGTTGCCAGAGATCTCTACCCCGAATGCCAGTTCCTGCAATTAATGATACAATTCAAAGATTATTAGAATCATTGAAAGCGGTTTGTACTGAAGAAGAATTTCAAGAGATAGAGAAACAAGCTAAAGTAATTATAAATATGATTGAAATATTACAAAAATCTATATTTGTGAAGTAATTTATTATTTATTTAATAAGTTATTATTTTAGTAATTTAATAATAATAACTCTTTAATAACTTAGATGTTATATGGCTTACCATAAAACTTCTCTAACTCAAATTTCTGTAATTTGAATATTTCTTTAACTCAAAGAAAATGAAGCACTTCATAGGTCTCAATGGAATAGCATAGGAATTTAATTAATATCTCCAACTTGAATTTCCTTAATTTGAATTTTCTGCAAGAAAGGTTTTCATGGTCCCCTAATACTGATTTATATTACTTTCAACTTCCTTAACTTGAATTTTAATATTTATTCTATCCAAGGTGACCTAATTATTGGATTTCTATGAACTTGTCAGACAGTTTAGTTGTATCTATTGTTTAATACCCATTTGCAGACAATATTCCAGTCCAAAGCAAGTAAAATTATAGTAGTAAATAGTAGTTTATGGAGTAGTAAAATTATATAGGTCTTATATACTGACTTATTCACTTTTTGATATTGAACATTAGAGCATTCTTCAGATCAACTACAAGGTTATTATAGAAACCTCATTTTAATACAAAGAACTACTACTAATAGATTCAGTTATTCTGTGAAAAATGTATAAATAACACAAAAACCTACACATACTATACATAAATTACAGGAAGGCATTTGACACCATTTGACTGATGGCTGTTATGCATACTTCATACATACAAAATTCCAATACTTACTACGTTTCTAGAAACTACATGCAAAAATAAACAATTGCACAAAATCAAACAAAATTTTTTACAAATAAATCTTAAAATGCTAGCTGTCAAAATATATAATGATAATACGGTTTAGAATGAAAATGGCGGGAAAAATAAGACTAATCTGTCTAGTGGTAAAAAAACGAAATTACTATCCGAACAACCCAATACTTTAGTATCTTTTTTGCCTTTATGTTGTCTGTAACTTTTGACCAGGCCTTCTATTGTGGTGGTTTTGTAGCCTAAATTTGTTGCAATTCTTTTAATTTTACCAATCTCCATAAGACTGTCTTGAATGTTGGTGCAATATAAGAATGCTTTTTTAATAAGTGCCTTAAATGCTGATAACTTGTACTTATATGGATCATTGGACCACGATGGTATATATATGGGAGCATGCGTGGGTTTTAAATACACTGCTGTTTGTACATTTCCTTGTTTAAATTTTATATCAATGTCCAAAAAATGGAGATTAGTATTGTTTTTCTGTTCTAGTTTTAGTTTTAACCCATGATCATTACTATTGATTGCAAGTAAAAATTCTTCAATTTGTTGGTTATCTTTCCAAATTATAAACACGTCATTGACATAATGTTTGTAGATTATAATGTCCTATGTGAAATCTCTGAAGATGTTTTTTTTGAGTTTACGTATTACTAGTTCGAAATGAGTCCTGACATGGGATCTCCCATTGGGACACCTTTCTTTTGTTTGTATGTCATTTCGTTGAATCCAAACAAGGATTGGTAGCACATCAAGTCTGCTAGAGAAGAAAGGTGTCCCAATGGAAGGTCACATGAAAGTGTCTTTATTGACACTGGGAACTTAACAGAGGATATACTCCCAGGTGTGAAAGTTGACAGATACTTGACAAAGTTTATGTTACGACATTAAATTATTTATGTTGAAATCTGGATTCTCACACAAAGAAACTCCCTCATAGCCTTGTGTTTCCCACCACTCCTCTTTTCTGTATCTTGTCAAGACCTTCCATGAAGTTTGACAGGATACAGAAAATTGACAATTAAAAGAAATTCATCCTAAAATCTCAAGTGAAGAAGAATGAAATATCAATGTAATAAGTTATGTACAATGGAGTTATTTAAACTCTCTGTTAAATATAAAATATTAATTTTGACCTAGTATAGGGGTGGCCAATAGTTTTTGCCCCCGGGCCGAATTGGAAAGAGAACTTTCTTCACAGGCCGAACCAGAGGCTGCCCTAGGAAGGTTTTGAGGTGGTGCGAGATCTCATTGTGGTGTCGCCCCATAGAGACTAAATTGTAGATAGAGGTTACAGATACATTTTTAACATTATCGTGCTTTATCAACACTCTCCTCTGTACTTACGAGATTTGTAATGAATGGTTAACTCTAGCGAGTTGTTGATTTTTTTTTTAGGCACTAGAATTTTTCACCAATTCATTCTGACTTGAGTAGCTAATATTGAAAGATCAATCGTGGGCCACATAAATCCATTACACATGCCACATGGCCTAGTAGATTGGATTTTGATCAGATTTTTAATTTCTTCTTTTTGTAAGAAGGAACTCTAAGATATAGTTGAGAATTATATGTCTTTAATTTCATATATCTATGTTTGCATATATTTCATCTTATGATTTTATTTTAAATTTTGTTAATAAATCTGATTTTTGTTTGATTAAATTAGTTTACTGTCTATTGCCTAACTCGGGTCAGCAACCTGCGGCTCGCGAGCCACATGCGGCTCTTTGGATGTGAAGCTGCGGCTCTTTAGTTCCATACGCAAATATTATTTATTTTACAAAAAAAAAAACATTTAAAAATCGTTCTGAATCGATTAATGAGGATTCGGCACCGATTCTATCTCTCAGCCACTTGTACTCGCTTTTCATCGCACCTCTCCCCCGTGACACGTGTCGTCACTGTCGTCAGTCCGTCGGAAGCTCTCGAATGATGCCGTCATCAGATGTTTCTATGAGGTTTAATTAACTTTTGACGCAAGACAATTCTGAATAAATAGATTAGTTTTTTTAAACAAAAAACTTTATTTATGCGAGTTTTATTTATTGTTGGCAAGAAAAAATTTTGTGGCTCTTTAAAAACTTTGAAATTTTGTAAATTGTAATTTTTGGCTCTTCTGACTCAAAAGGTTGCCGACCCCTGGCCTAACTCTATCATCTTACCCATGGTTGAAATGAAAATATCCTTCCTAAATAACTAAATATCAAAGTCAGTATTTTTTAAAACACTTAATGAAACATTAAACACTTTCGTTACAGTTTTAAAATACGTTTGAACTCATTTACACCTGAGGATGGCCTATTTCATGAGGCTGAAAATGTTAGTGTTTTATTAAATAAACATTTTTCAGTGATGGAAGGTGTTTAATGTTTCATTAAGTATCCTTTCTAAATTCTGGAAATTAATCATAAAATACCAATTAATATGAAACAGTTTTAAAAATTAGAATGGTATTATCTGTTTATTAAACAACATTATTACTATTTTTAATTTATTGAAATCAGCTTTAATTTATGTAATTGAATTGTAATAAATACTAAATTTATTTATCAAAATACTTTTTATTTTAGGAATTTAAAAATACTCTGGCTCCTAAACTACAAAATATATTAGTTATTAAATCATGGATTTCTCAAAATTATGTCAGTGACTGGTGGTAAGTGTTTATATTCTAAATAATTATAAATGCTGCAATTAACTTCTTTAGTTGGATAGCCAGAATTTTGACATCTATAAAAGAAACATAAAAGCATTATAATGAGAAAATATCAATTCAGATGTAAACTGTATATCTATATATATAATCGAGACGAGTTGATAATAATAATAATAATAATAAGCGCAGAGCCCAAATGGTTAGGTGTTAAAAGTTGAAATTTGGTACACAGTTAGGGTACGTTACGAGAATGCACACGAAGAAGGGATTTTTCGAAATTCCTCCCCACAGGGAGAGGGACAGGATTAAGGCTTAACACTTCCATCAACAATGGAAGTGTCAACAATGGAAGTGCTAAGTAACAATGGAAGTTTTAAGAGAAAGCGAAGTGCAAGATGCAGATGCAGATTTTTCGTTTTTGCGGAAATTGAACATATTTTTAGACCCATGTAAAATTCTCTAATCAGTCCGGAAACAGGGGGACCCAATTCTTGCATTCTGTGAAAAGGGAAAGGTTGAATGTAACTAGGGAATTCGATCCCGGTCCTTATTTCTAATCCCGGGATATCGGGATTATACTTATTCGATCCCGGGATTATTTTGGTATTGAGGGTTAATAAAAAATAAGAAAATCTTACAGAAATCAAAAATCAAAATTTAGACAAAAATCAACGTATTTTATGATATACACCTAGTTAATTTAATCACTCTAACTAATCAGACTTAGTCAGACTAACCAGACTTGAAATCACTGTTTCATGTTAAATTTATTTTTTTAAGCATCACTGAGATCTCTTTAAACTCACATAAATTGAAAAAACCTTTATGTAACAAACTATGCAAATAAACGTTGAAAATTAACAAAAATCTCTCTTAACATCGACTAAATAGACTACTTTCATATAACAACCTAGTAAGTAGGTAGTAAAGTAAGTTTCTTAGCAAAAAGTATTTAAAAATAATATTAATCAGTCACATTTTTCTTAAATATAAAGAAAACTAATCTAATAGGAACATTCTAATTTGAATTGCGAAAATATGATCTGAGAAATAACAACGCATCCTGTGTCTCATCACCAAGTCTGCTTCTCAATTTGTTGCACATATATGCAGCTGCTGAGAAAACGCGTTTAGGTTTGATGGAAGTTGGAGGAATCGTTAGTAAATACTTATAAGCCCGTTCTAGTTATAGCTTCGAGGACACGGGGAGGTTGGAAGAAAACAGTCCGGTCGACACAGATCGGGATTGTAGGAGTAAAGGCTACAATCCCGATTGTTTCGATCATTGTAAGCATGCCTTTCTAAAAATAAACACGTTAATTTTGTAAATTCGGTCTCTGTGTGAGTCTCTCAGCATCCAGCAAACCACTACTCCCAAACGTAAAAAGACTTTCTCGCATCATCCTGACAGATCACGGGCAAGGCGGGGGTCGTAACCTTTTCACCTAAGGTCGACCCCCCTAAGCGAGAGGCGTCGGGTCTATATTAACCACACTGGCAAAACAAGATGGCTGACACATTGACAGGTAAAACGCACTGAGTAGTGCTCTCGACTGCGCCAGAAAATCGATTGGCGCCCGCGAAAATTCAAAAATACAAAAATGAAGTATATTACCAAGTAACCCAGTGAGAACTGCTTGCCTATCATTTTAGTTGAAAATACAAGAAGTTTTATTCCAAGCAAGCATCGCAAGCCCGCTAGGTTAATTTCTGCTGCTTGCTTGGAATAAAATTTGTTGTATTTATATTAAAATGATAGGCAAGCAATTCTGTTAAAAGCACTGGCACTGAACGTTTTGCTTCATGCAGTCTATTTTGCAACTTTTTTTAAAATGATGTCAATCCCGAAAATCTCGGGATTAAGAAAACTTAATCCCGAAAGTTTTGGGACTGAAAAGTGGTCGGGATCCCGGAATCCCGATTTTCGAGATCTCGGGATCAAATCCTCTAAATATAACGTAATAATTTTAATCTTCCCTATTGTTACTTTTGCCCGAGCTACACTGGGCCTATTTGCTAGGTATTATGTCCTCTCAAATCATAAGGCACTCTATAGGTTTCAAACACAATCCCTACTGTTTTACACCATGAGGGAATTTCAGCTTCCTTGTCCAGCATTATAGGCACCACCCATGTCACTTTTTGAGCTGAACTATCATCTTCACTTCTGTAGGCATCAATAATTGCATTTCTCATGCCAAATTGTGTCTGTTCTCTTTCATATTCAAACTATTTGTCTAGTCAGTTCCCTGTTTCTATTTTTGCTAGTTCTAATTCCTTAGTTTTTCTGATTTCCAAATCTCTAATTACAACTTTGACCTTGTATTTAGCTCTTTCTTTCTCTCTCTCTTTCTCTTTCTCTCTCTCTTTCTGCCTCTACCTTACCTAATTCTAACTGGAGTCTTATCTTCATTACTTTGACTTCAGAACATTTTTGGGGTAATAAATCTAAGAACAAAACATTTCCCTTGTATTCACTGGGCATTTTAATAATTTCAGAGTTTGAATTTACAGATGTTTTTTATTAATGCCATATATGCTATCTTCCCTTCTCCCCAATTCTTCTCCATACTGATGACATTACCACAACTTTTACAATAAAATAGCTTGGTACTCATGCCAAATATTGTATATCAGGACAGAGTTTGAGCATGAGTTTGGCATTATTACCTGTTTTTAACACTAGCACTTTCGACAAACTTATATCTGTTGTCGTCAGGTGAATAAAGATTTTTCAAACAGAAATGTTCTGAGGTGTGTAAAAATTATTTGTATT